AACAGTTGCAGTGCTACTCAGATCTTTAAATCGCAAAGATCTGAGGGGCACCCTGAGACATGAGTTGAAAAGTTCCATGTGCCCTGTAATTTCACCAGCACCCTTCTTACCCGCACCAACTTTCAACATCTCAGGATAACTTGGAAACTGCTGATAGCCCAGCTAACTAAATTATAAATAAAAAATATTTTTATTCAAAGCTAACTTTAAACATTTAATAGGGTGACTCCGTACCGGAAATTCCTGTCTACGCCAAAAAAACCACATTCAGGTATCTACAATGAATACGTTAATTTTATAACACCTGTCAATTTTTTTTATTTAATTTTGCACGTGGTGACACATCAATGGATCGTCCCATTAATGAAATTGTTTAACATTTATGATAGTAAAACATTATTGTGAGGAGCAGGTGAGGACAAATTAATTCAAAGTATTATATCATACCAGTCGTAATGAATATTAACAACACCTGTTATATAACCTCGTATAAAAATATTTTAAAACGAAATCACGTGTTTTAATACGCTTATAACATCTGCCCTTTTAATACCTAGTCTTGGTACTTGACACTTAAATGAACCGTTTGATAGACAGTTATTTGATATAAAATATTAAATTAAAAATATTAATGTGATATCCACGAAATACTCTATAGAAAATAATCCTTCGAAAAGGGACATTTTGTAAAGAATGCAACCGTAATTTATATCCTTGTAAACTTTTTCTTAATGCTTAATGGACTATCCACTTACATCGGGACCGGCACGTGGACGGGCCGTGCTGTTGGTATGAACGCTGGGCCCATCACTGCGCCGGCCCGGACACGGACATGTGACGTGAACGACTTCATATAAAATATACACAGCGATAACTTTTTGAGCGCCTGACGGAGTACAGCCCGTCCACGTCCCGGGCATGGCCTTGATGTGTGTGGATAGTCCTTAACACTGTGACGATGTGCCCTCCTTCCATAGTCATCCCACCTTTTTATCACATTTTCTCTGGTTCCTGGATACTTGCTTTCAAATTTTGAATCGTTCTTTAATTCCTTTGCCTCGCTATTCTCATTTCACGTTCCATCGTCACTCATTTTGATCCTTTTACAAGTTCCCAACCTAAATCATGCGCCAATTTTAATGCTAATCCAACTTAGTAATACTGTATAACTCGTCGCTTTCGGGGTAAGTCTGTCTCACGGTTTTAGTAATTAGGTAGACTGGGATTCCAAGGATTCGGACGAAGCGTTTCGCTTTCACATTTACACAGGCGGACGACTATGGAGTGGAATTCCCTGCCTGCAGACTTGTTCCCTGAAAGTTATAACTTGGACCTTTTCAAGGCGAGAGTGAATAGGCATATTTAGGTGTGCATGCTAGATCGTCCTCTTCATCGTCATTTTCCTCCAATGGAGATCAAATGCGTACTTATTTTTTATTAAAAAAAAGAACGGGTTAACAAGTCGGCAAACAAGCATACGTGAGACGAAATACAAACTTTTAGTTATAAGGGAGTATTTAAATACGACAAAACGATCTTTAATATCTTGAGTGTGATCACACTGGCTCTATCTACCCTTCACTCCGGAACACACAGAGTAGAACCCTCTTTGTTACATATCGAAATGTAATTTTACTATAAGTAAATTAAAAATTTAATAAAATTTATTTTCATTTTAAAACTAAAGTTGTGTACAGAAAACGCTATACATATATTTCTTAAAATTACACACAACAGGCAGACATTGTCAGAAAGTATCAACAATATAAATTTTCTTTATAGCTGAGAAAAGTTAACACGATACATTTTATAGGCCATAAGATAAAGAGCAAAACTCAAGTAGCAAGAAGTTGAATGCCCTCTGTACTAGCATGGTGTGATCAAATGCACACAGGCCAATCAGCCGGGGTCACTGACTGGTTCCCAGTGTCCCATGCACCGGACACTGGCATAAGGGCTACTAATGAGACGTGGTATGTACTAAGCCATCTCGTTATAGCTATAAAGTGCATTTTATATTTATTTTTTGCCAATTTCACGAACATTAATGGTCTTTTACCAGCTGGTATTTATGAGGAATGTTCGCAATTGGCGTTTAACTTTAAAAATAAATATTTAAATAAAAATCTTGTACCTTCAACACTAATCGTCTGACCAAACTGGTTAAAAATTCCGGTTAAAATACTTAGAAATAGGTAACACAAAATCGCTATAGTTAAATATTGACTTAACTATCTATTTCGAACACTGGAGTTCGTCAAATTGTGATTTTTAATCAAAAATATTTAAGAAGTAAATTAATTGTATATTTTTACTAGCAGTAGAGCTCCTTGTGAAAGAGTTCATCCAGGTTAATACTTTGCTACCTTACCTATTTTTACGCCGACAAGCAGTAATGTCAGCATTACTGTATTCCGGTTTTAAAGGGTAAGGGTGCCGGTGAAATTACATTTTGAATTGAAGAAATTATATTTTTGCCACTTGCTCTGAGTGGCACTGCAAATATTACAGGCCCTTGCCAGCAGGCGTACGACTTGCTCGTCCCGTCACGTCACTTGGTTTCATAAACAAAACAAGAAAGTATATGCTAGATTCGATTTTAATATACTCACTGTTAATTGTTATTGAGATTTCAATTGTCAATGGTCACAGTCCATGAATTGCTATTGCTCACATACCTCACTTAGGGAGATTTTTAAGGAAATTAGCATATTGACCACTGCATCACAGTTTATTTTCAATTGTATACTTTTTGTTCGTTTGAATATAATGAATTGTATAATAAACGGAGTAACGTATATAATTTTAATACTAGACATAAATGGAAGCTCGTTTTACCGAAGTTAAAGACTTCAGAGGGTTCTCGGTTCTTTTGTCGGGCTAGGAATTCAGTATTAAAATAAGATTCCAAAAGCTGTTGTGGACTTATCCTTTGATAAGTTCAAAAATCATGTAAAGGCTACTAAAGAGAGGATATTACTCTGTTAGGGATTATATAAACGATAAGACAGTATAATTTTAAAAATTGTGTAAATGTGACAATTTCAAGTGTAATTTGCTTACCTACGAAATAAAGATAATTTTGATTTTAATATTAACCCTACACAAAAATTTCGCAAATTACCTAATCCTTTTTCCCACTTAATCAAAATGTAGGTGATGATGAACACACGTAATAATTAATATTACCAAAACATTGCTATAAAATCCATTGTTAGAAAGTGATATAACACTTCTTAATACCTTATGGATAATCGATTAAAGCTTAGAGATTAGATCAATTGTCATTGTGTAGGCAACTTTAGCACTCAATCGACTATAAACTCTATCACCACCACACAGTCAATACTGTTCTCCTTATCGTAACTAACATAACCAATATTTTTATCGTAATTGAGTTCTTAACAAATCTGGTATCAGCAAAACAAGATCTAGAACCTCCTACAAGCGGTTTTCTTATATCATATTTAGTTTCAGTTTTATTGTTAAGCAAAATAAGCATAATTGACATTTTTGAACATCGAATATATAACCAGAAATAGAGACGAAATAAAGGCCATCCATCCCTGGCAACTCATCAGGCAAATGGACCTTATGTCACCTTTAAATATCAACTCTCATTTGCGCTGAAATCACAAATTAGAAATGTGAAGTAGTACAGCACCACAAACTGACCTGTGTGTACCTCTCCGTATATTCCAGAAATATTTCGCATTTATTGTAAGAAAGATAATATCTCTAACAACAGGGGGCTGTTCCATTCGGTGGTGTGGGAAAAACTGCAAAACATCTAATTACAAAACAAACGGAATCACATTTCATAATTTTTTCGTAATTAAATATTAAATATGTAATTTTTATATGTTCGTACATTATAGCAAAGCTCAAGTAAAACTGGTCGATTTGAAGTGAAACTATTGACGACGCCCGTCAATTGTTCGAAACGGAGCGCAGTTGTCACCGTAATAACATGGCAGAATAGTTTCCAAACAAATTAAATGACATTTCGTCTCTATTTCTGATTATATACTTGATGCTTATATAAAGAAAAAGAAAACTTTAGGTGCCAATATCTCGGAAGTTACCAAAATTCAAATGCCTTAGTTTTGAAAAGGAGGGCAATGCTGCCCGATTTGAATCTTATTTGCGTAAGTTTCAAGTCGGTTTTCACCTTACCGCGTTTGGAATAATAATTATGTATTAAAAAGGAATTAAGTAGCTATTAGCTTTTGACATAAAATAACCAAAAAACACATTTAGCGATATACTAGTAAAATCCGTACTATTATGAAGCGTTCTTTGAAGTCCGATCAGTTATTTCACTTTTTTTAATTTAGATCAAATTTAAAGATAAATATTAGTCGACTGTCATTTTTTTTTTCATTTATTGTTTTAATTTCATACTAAAAGAGGTTCGTCGAGTCGTTCGAGGAGGTTTTGCGTTCTTGTCAATTTAGTTAAAAAAGTTTTTTATTCATTAAAGCTTCAAACTTAAGTCATTTTTATTTCAAATTATACTTGAAGTCATGAAGTAGTCATATTGATTAAACTCTACTGCTTATTCGTAAGGCAGATTCCCCTGAGAATAACGAGCAAGAAAGTATGGTATGCTTTGTAAATACACATTTGAATATATTTATCATTGACAATATTTATTTCAAACAACGTAGACAGAGAATACCTGAAATATCTAAACGGGAAACTACCGCGGATTTTTGTTATCAAAGTGAAATTGTTACGATTTTAAATTTTCATCTATTAACGCTTTCATCACAAAATCTAAAAAACAATTTTTATTTAATTTCTTTTTTTTATTAAAGGTTAAATAAGCTGTACTAACTGGGTGTTAAAAGACGTTAATTTATAGGTACTGTACGTCTGATTCTTATTCATTTAAATATAGGTAAACGTTATTATTGTATATTGTCACTTTTTTGTTCAGCTAAATGTGCTTGTGTGTGTGTGTGGTATAATGACTTATTATATAATTGTATACTCACAGCGTTGGTGGTGTGACCACAAACACTTCTAGTCGGCGTACTCAACCCATCGGGAACGGACTGTGTGAAGACGGCGGGAGACGGTCGACCGCTGCTGTAGACTGCTGTTCGTCTGCAACAAGGATAAACCCAGTCATATTGTAGGCAAAAAAACATTAGGAACACACATAAGGTCGTCAATGGACCAACAAACTCTAAGATGAAAAACAAAAGGGGTTTCAGATTTCGCTACTGGTTCTTCCCCCACCTGTTCCTTATATATAATATAAATAGTTCTATAGATAGAACTACTGGGTGTACAGGTGCATTGTAAGACTATTAAGGTTAATAGAGCATTTTATTCTTAAGGTACAAAACGTCCTTTTCAAAGTGTTACAGTCGAGGTTCGTATTCGAATTGGACATCTAAGAGAAAGGTTTAAAAAAGGAAGGTTTGGTACCGTTGTTTTTCCGATTTCCATAACACAAGTGTTTCAGTTACTTACTTTAGAACAGAGTAACGTGTGTGATGAGGTCTAATATCGTCGGTGTATCTTTATTGTAGAGACGGCGTAAGCGACATTTCGAAAAAATTCAAGAATTCAGGGGAGCAAGTTTTACGTTTTAACGTTTTAAAATATTTACGCCCTATATTAAAATTCAATTTTAATTTTAATTGAATTTAAGTTTCAATATTGAAATTAAAACAGGACGTAAATATTTTAAAACAGCCGTGAAACCTAAAACATGCTCTTTATTTAAACTTATTTTCGTGATTGTTACGCATTGGAATCATTAAATAAGATTAAAATTTAGATACAAAAAAATAGTTTCATTTCCAATCAAAATGCTGCATCGTATTTTGAATAAAGCAAATATAAATATTTGCTTCAGCACGCAAAAAGCACCACGAAAACAAAATAAATACTGCACTGATTCTGTTCTAAATCAACGAATAGTACAAAACCAATCAATGTTCCACTATTGCTCATAGTGAGTACATTTGATATTCTTTGAAATGACATGTAAACAACTTGATTGCATCTGTGAAATATTGTCCCTTCTATTTCGGGTTGACATTCCTCATTGAACAAGAGCAAGCTTCATAGTTCGTAATTTTATGCATACACATCCCGCCCAGCGAAACCATTACCATATCGACAGTGGAAATTTGTAATGTTGTATGACACATTTTGTCGTAACGGAAAATGTCCCGTGCTACATAATGCCTTCATGGCGTTCAGTATGCAGATGCAGATGTTAGTAGTAACCACGTGGAGAGCTCTGTGTGCTAGACTGTTCCCGACAACAATTCTACGGACAGCAGTAGCGAAGAAGAGTTCCAGGACGCGCTGACGCAACGTATCAGACCCCCAAGTTCCCCACTGCACCGCAGTGAGTCGCAGCGCGCAGTGCTAGATGTGACGCAGTCGCGAACGTAGCACTTAACCCCTGATGAAGACCATCGATTATGGTTGAAACTAGTCGGACCGCTTCCGACTAAAATACTACGCGAGCAAGTCCCGTTACTTTTATACTATAATGTGTGATAACCACGTTAGTTTTCATAATAAAATACATAGTGTCTCTTACGACATATCAAAATTCGATACATCAACAAAATTATTAACGTTATATCGACGGTGGAAATTCAAAATGTCCCTTGCGACATTTTAAATTTCCACCGTCATGACTTAGATATAGTTCTATAATAAAAATAAATTTCATATTTTTCTTAACGTTCTTTTTAATGAAATAAATAAATAACTTTTCTAGTTCTTAAGTTTTCGCGACTGTATTTTTTCTCTCTCTTTACAGGTCCCATGGTCACAGCTGACGCGGTTTGTTTGAAAAAACAAAGATACATGACTTAGACAAAAAAAAATTGTTTCATTTTCTATAAATAACTTTTATTAACCACTTCTAAAATACCAAAACCCAATACACATAACCCAATCATAAAGCTGAACAACATACCGTTGGATAAAATATTAATAATAATAACGCACATACTCATAGCCCTGGGTTAGGGCAGGATTTCTCAACCTGTGGTCCACGGACCAATAAGTGTAATGACCGCCGGGGGTCCATGGCGAACCTACCTAACATAATGCAACAGCAACCGTCACACTAACTGTACATATGTAATTAAGTAAAGTTTAATCGCAAATAAAATATAAGGTAGTAAAAACTAAACCTAGTTTATTCTATTTTCAGAAAGAGTTCGTGGGCTCTTTGACATTTTGAGAGGGGTCCGTGACTAGAAAAAGAAAAAGACAGAAGAAACCTTAAAGCGAAAGGGCTAGGGAAACCCTATGTCGCGGATGCCATGGACACACGGACAACTACAAATTACACCCAAACTCACGAGAGAAATAAATGTAGGTCATACAAATATTTCTCTCGGCCCGTGAATCGAAACCGGGACCTCTACGTGGCAGACCAGGATGGTAATCATTCGGCCATGGAGGCAGTCAAGTATCTAAAGAAATAACTAACTAAACCAGCGAGCGCTACAGGTCAGATTTTCTGCCTGTAGCTAATAAATGAGCCTGGCCCGTTTGCGCCGTGACACGTATTAATTATACATATATTATAATTACTTTATTATTATTATTACCATATGATCGTGCATTTCTATGCAATTTAATTTTAAGTATTCACTTTTGTTCCATTTATATTGTAGTTTTAGGTTTATAATAATGTATTTTAGTTTTAAAATCATGCGTTTCTCTGCGATTACGTTGTAAATTGTACTTATTCTATTCTAAATTTAGATTCTTGGGCAGTTTGATAACCAATGACTTCAAATATACTTCGTTTAATTGTTTTAAGAATCACAATGGCTAAAAAGGCTTGCAAAAATTTCAAACAGAGTCAGGAAATGACTTATAAAGGTATACAAGAAAATCGAGAAGTTACTTAGGTCAGATAAGGAAAGTGTTATAGCGTGTTGTAACAGGAAATCAAAGATGGCGCTAAACGAAGATGGTTGGCGGTTACTCTACCGATAAGAAATAGAAGAAATAATAATTCAATTATCTTTCCTTGCAAGCAAGGAACTTTCTTTTGTTTAGAAATTACGAGATTTTGAGTCTGTGTGATTTTTTGCTGCATTATTTTACGGGAAATTAATTGATAAACCACAATTACTGTTTGTTTTGTTTTGTAGAGTTCGCCCAGAGAAGTACAGCCACCTTATCTATTTCTGCTGCCAAGAATAATGTGAGCATTACTCTCTTCGCATCGGTCTCTGAGTTCACTACTTTTTGTCTACTACGAACTCAAACATTTAATATCTAAGTCCATTGCTCATGTACAACATTTGTTTCCAATCTTTTCGTTTATTGAAAATAACAATCAACAAAACTAAATATAAAAAAACGAATACACAATATCTATGTATATTAACAAGGGTCATTTTATTTAAACCTGTCAGAGACAGAGATCTTATATCAAGAAGTGATCAAACGAATCGCACTGGATGTCGAGACGGAGACTCCACACAAGGCTATTTGGCAGTGTAACCATTACACCAATGACCACCAAGCGTATTAGTCTCGCTTTCATACTCGCTTACACTTGTGTCAACGACGTCGTCGGCTTTCTGATACCCTGGTACTTCTTTGTTGCTACCTCTAAAAATTTCATTACATCCTTATAACAGACGACCGCTTTTACGTACTTGTAGTCAGATAAAATTAATGTATATACATATGCTTACTATGTATAATAAATTTATCAATATATTTTCAAGAAGTTGTATATTTTCATCTCCATAAAAAGCTTCTTTTTTTATAAATAAGAATTATATTTACTTACATTGTTTCTTACACGTAGTTTTGACTTAAATATTTATTATGATAATAGCAGATTATTATGAAAATTACATGATTGAAAAGGCCTGAATAAAAAAACTTTTCAAGATAGAAAAGGACTTGTCGTTGACGTGACAAAAAGGTAATAAAGATAGAAAAAGAAAGAAAGCTACGACAGTAAACACATCAGTAGCAACCCTGATCACACGCAAGCACTTATACCAAAAGATACCGACACACGCATCACAATATACGTCGTTTATAAACAGTTATTGCAACGCCAGACCAACGACTGCAGCGCGGGCGACGGCGACCTGACACCACTCTACACGATTGCATCTAAGTCTCTTGACTACGCCTTTCTCATCACATAATTAAAGTTCAAATGATGTATTTTGAAGAGACGTAAAGTTTCTTAGAGTTGTTTGTAGTCCTACACCTGGAGAAACGAGCTGAGCACATGCCCATGTTCCGAGGTGGCCTCTTCATATGACAATTAAGATAGAACAGGACAAGGAGGTCGCTGATAGCGAAATCATTCTTTTGTGCGGTTTATATGTGATATGAAATGCGAAATCTGTCATAGATTAGTTAGGTTATGTAAGTGGTACAGATAAGACATCTTAGTGTAGAGACATTAAGTTTGCATTGAATAATGATAATGTAATAAAGTGCCACACCAATTCTGCCCACCTTATCATAAGTAACGTAATTGACATTTTAGCGAAATTGAGTTTTTAACATATCTTTTTAATATATTAGTAGCAGTAGAGCTCCTTGTGAAAGAGTTCGTCCAGGGAAGTACTGCAACCTTAGCTATTTCTGCCGCCAAGCAGTAATGTCAACATTACTGTGTTCCGTTTGGTAAGGGTGCTGAAATGAAATTACAGGCACGTGAGACTTGTCAACTTATGTCTCAGGGTGTCGGGCGCAGTGGCAGTGCCCATCAGATCTTGTGATTTAAAGCTCTAAGTGACACTGCAACTGTTAAGGACAGGCGTGACGCTTACCACCAGGCACACGACTTGAAAAAGGAATCTGGGCCCCAATTTTAAATCATCTCAGTTGTGTGTCGAAAGAGTGTCAATTGTCAATTCTGCTAAAAGTTTAGTTTTTAGTTTAGTGGCCTGTCCGTGTCTAAATGTGTAAATTTTTGAGTTTTCTGCTCTTCAACGGCGAGTCGATGGAACGTCAATGGTGAAGTTTACTACTTAATATTATTCTCATTTAATTTGAAGACTATATTGCTGATTAAACTAAAATTTCCATAGTAGTTTTAGTAAGGCAACATCGATCGTTAGTGATTCAATGAATGA